TGATGGTGATGATGATGATGATGATGATGATGATGATGATGATGATGATGATGATGATGATGATGAGGATGATGAGGAGGAGGAGGAGGAGGAGGAGGAGGAGGAGGCGTTTCGGCTCCACGGCGGCCTAAAAGGCCCCCCAAACCGCCCCCAAACAGGCATGCGTAAGAGGCCCCCATAGACGACCCCAAGAGGGCTTCAAGACGGCCTAAGAGGCGCCCCGAGACGGCCCAAGAGGGCCCGATGACAGCTCCAAGACGGGCCCAAAGGCGGGAACAGGAGGCCCGAATCCCTTCATCGCGCCAAGGCGCGGTGGCGGATCAGGTGCGGCGTGTGCAGCCGCGGCGTTCAAGTGCCTGCCGTGGATGCGGAGCACGTGGAGGCCGCCAGGCAGAGCCTCGAGACCAGGGCCCACCAGATATTGCGCCTGGTCGTGGACGCGCTCCTGCTGGAGGCGGGGCCGAATCCAGACAAGGCGTTCCGTCAGAAAGTGCGGGCGCTCAGGATGCTCATGACTCATTTTGGGAAGGGCAAGGGCGTCAAGTGGTTCGGCGAGCGCTGGAGCGCGCATGTCGTGACGGGGATGGCGTTCCGCGCGCTGGAGCGCCTCCGCATGGAGCCCGCGTTGGAGGGCGCGGCCGACGCGGTGCGACAATCCCTGGTGGCCTTCGGCGCGATGTGAATCAGTCGAGGAAAAGAAAACGACATAAAGATAAACTGTCGGAGGTCCGCGCGAATTTCTTGGATCGGCGCTGGAACCCGCCCCCTGGCGCGCAGGGCGCGCCAGTGGCGGCGCGGCCCAGCGCCGACCCAAGAAATCCGCTCGGACTTCCGAACGTTTATATCAGGGCTGCCCGTTGCCCTGGGCTTGTTTCCCCTCTGGGGCCCCCCTTCAGAAGCTGCGCCAAGCCGGCGCTTGGCGATGACCCCCCAAACCCAACGTCATTGCAAGAACGGCGTTATCCAGCTGCCTGCGGCGCGCCCCGCCGCCGCGCCGACGAGAAAGGGTCATGTTCCAGACGGTCGGGTCATGCCCCAACCGGACGGGTCATGCCGCATTATGAACACCTCAGAGGAGTAGCTGGCGGAAACCGGCGGAATGTAAACGAAAACGTAGCATCGGCGGAAGCTGGCGGCAGTGGCGGGGTGCCAACGGGTGGCTTCGGAGAAATGGGGAAGTCCGAGCCCCTGCCGCCTGCTGGCTGATCCCAGCGAGCGGCAGGGGCGTTGACGGCTTGAGCTCTCCAGTGGCCCTTTGGTTTCCCGCGGTTCGCCCGGGGCCATGCCTCCAGGGCGGCCCTGGGGCAGTGTCCTCTTCCCGTCCGTCCCCCGTCCTCCTTCCTCCTCCTGCTCCCCTGTCTTCCTTCTTCCCGTCCTCCTCTTTTTTTTGCCCCCCTCACTTTGCCTCTCCCTCCTCGTCCGTCGTCGTCCTCTTCCTCCTCCTCCTCCTCCTCTTCCTCCTCCTCCTCCCCCTCCTCCCCCCCTCTGGCTCAAAGTCGAGGCTCAAAGCCGCAGGACCAGCTTGACCGCAGTGCGCTCCTCCTACCCCTCCTCCTCCCCGTCCCGCCCTTTTTTCCTTCATAACCGTTTTTGGGTCGGTGTGGCACGGCGCGCCCCCGCCATTTTGCGAGCGCCCCCCGTGGGTTTGCGCCCGGGCGGTGCCCCCCCCGTTCCCGCTCTGCTGGCTACTACTGGGGTGGGTGATGGGGGGGGTCAAAGGGAGGCCTTCTTAGCCTGGTACAGTTCTGCGTGCCGCGGCGTTCCTACAGGCGGTCACACCGTTTGCCGCGAAAATCACAATTTGCCGTTTGGGCCGTCTCGGGGCGTTCTGGGGGCCTCTTGGCTTGTCTTGGGGCGGTCTTGGGGGCCTCTTGAGCTGCCTGGGAGCGCCCGAAAACCGGAAAGGTGAACGGGCCAATTTTTTCCAAAAGCGGAACGAACATCTACGATGTTTGCGTTTCGGGTACCTATCGGGAGGACTCTTTGGGCGTCTGGGGGCCTCTTGGGCCGTGTTGGGGCCGCTTTGGGCGTCTTCGAGAACCGAGCCTCGAGCCTTGCCCTGCCGAACGAAGAAAGTTGCACAATTTGACGGTTCCCGATCAAAGAAGCTGCACAAGTTACCAATTCTCAGTTAAAAAAGCTGCACAAGTTAGAAAACCGAGCCCGGCATGGCAAAAACGAGCAAGGTTGCACAACCCGTCGGCCCCCGAACAAAAAAGTTGCACGATCGTCAATTCTCTCCCAGAAAGCTGCGCGAGTTCGAAAAACGAACCCGGCCCGACAAAACGAAGAAGCATGCACAACCCGTAGGTTCCCAATCCAGAAAGCTGCACAAGTTGTCAATTCTCCTTCAGAAAAGCTGCACAAGTTCGAAAACCGAGCCCAGCCCGACAAAACAAAAAGGGTTGCACGACCCGTCGGTTCCCAGTCAAAAAAGTTGCACAAGTCGTCAATTCTCTATCAACAAAGCTGCCCAAGCTCGGAAACCGAGCTAGGCCCGGCTAAACGGAAAAAAGGTTACACAAACCGTCGTTTCCCAATCCAAAAAGCTGCACATGGCGCCAGTTCACTTCCAAAAAAACATGAGTTCGACAACCGAGCCCGACCCGACAAAACGAAACAGGTTGCACAACCCTTCGGTTCCCAATCACAAATGCACAAATCGTTGAACAAGTTGCGCAAGTTCGAAAACCGAGCCTGGCCCGGCAAAACGAAAAAGGTTGCACAACTGGTCGGTTCCCAAAGAAAAATCACACGTTGACAGCTTTTTTTGTTCATATATATATATATCGTCAAAAAAAATGCGCGAGTTCGAGGACCCAGGCCGGCCGACAAAACACAACAAATGCACAACCGGTCGGTTCCTGAATAAAAAAGCTGCGCGAGTCGTCGGTTCTCCGTCAAAGAAGCTGCAGAACATCGAAATCCGAGCCCAGCCTGACAAAACAAAAAGGGTTGCGCGACCCGTCGGTTCCCAATCAAAAAAGTTGCACAAGTCGTCAATTCTCTGCCAAAAAAAGCTGCGCAACTTCGAAAACCGAGCCCGGCCCGACACAACGAAAAAGGTTGCACAACCCGTCGGCACCCAATCCAGAAAGCTGCACAAGTCGTCCATTCTCCATCAACAAACGTGCACCACTTCGGTTTCCGAGCCCGGCCCGACAAAACGAAAAAGATTGCGCAGACTGTCGGTGCCCAGTCAAAAAGCTGCACAAGTCGTCATTTCTCTTTCAGAAAAGCTGCGCAAGTTCGCAAACCGATTCTGGCCCCGCAAAACGGAAAAGGTTGCACAACCCGTCTGTTCCCAATCAAGAAAGTTGCACAAGTAGTCAGTTCTCTATCAACGAAGCCCCCCAAACTCGGAAACCAAGCTAGGCCCGACAGAACGGAAAAACGTTACTCAAACCCTCGGTTCCCAATCCAAAAAGCTGCACATGGCGTCAGTTCACTACCAAAAAGCTGCACTACTTCGAAATCGAGCCCAGTCCGACAAAACAAAAAGGGTTGCACGACCCGTGGGTTCCCAATCAAAAAGGCTGCACAAGTCGTCAATTCTCTGTTTACAAAGTTGCACAACTTCGAAAACCGTGCCCGGCCCGACAACGAAACAAGTTGCACAACTCGTCGGTTCCCAATCTCAAAAGTTGCACAGGTCTTCAATTCTTAGTCAACAAACTTGCACAGGTTGGAAAACCGAGCCCAGCCTGACAAAGCGAAAAAGAGTGCGCGACCCGACGGTTCCACACCATCAAAGCTGCACAAGTCGTCAATTCTCTGTCAAAAATGCTGCGCAAGTTCGAAAACCGAGCCTGGCCCGACAAAACGAAAAAGGTTGCGCAACCCGTCGGTTCAGAATCAAAAAAAATTGCACAAGTCGTCAGTTGTCTATCAAAAAGATGCACAACTACGAAATCCGAGCCCGGCACGACAAAACGAAAAAGTTGCACAGACCGTCGGTGCCCAATCAATGAGCTGCACAAGTTGTTAATTCTCCCTCAGAAGAGCTGCGCAAGTTCGAAAACCGATCCTGGCCCGACAAAGCGGAGAAGGTTGCTCAAGTCGTCGATTCTTCACCAACAGAATTGCACAAGTCGTCAATTCTCTGTTTAGAAAGCTGCGCAACTTCGAAGACCGTGCCCGGCCCGACAAAACGAAACAAGTTGCACAATTCGTGGGTTCCCAATCTCAGAAGCTGCACAGGTCGTCAATTCTTGGCCAACAAAGTTGCACAGGTTGGAAAACCCAGCCCAGCCCGACAAAACGAGAAAAAAAGTGCGACCCGACGGTTCCACGCCATCAATGCTGCACAAGTCGTCATTTCTTCGTCAAAAAAGCTGCTCGAGTTCGACGACCGAGCCCGGACCGACAAAACGAAAAAGGTTGCACAACCCGTCGGTTCCGAATCAAAAAAGTTGCACAAGTCGCCAGTTCTCAATCAAGAAAACTGCGCAACTTCGAAGTCCGAGCCCGGCAGGACAAAACGGAACAGGTTGCACAGACCGTCGGTGCCCAATCAAAAAGCTGCACAAGTTGTCATGTCTCTTTCAGAAAAGCTGCACAAGTTCGTAAACCGATCCTGGCCCGACAAAACGGAAAAGGTTTCGCAGGTCGTCGATTCCTCATCCAGGAAATTGCACAAGTCGTCAATTCTTTTTCAGAAAAGCTGCGCAAATTCGAAAACCGATCTTGGCCCAACGAAGCGGAAAAGGTTGTACAAGTCGTCGAGTCCTCGCCGACAAAATTGCACAAGTCGTCAATTCTCTGTTTACAAAGTGGCGCAACTTCGAAAACCGTGTCCGGTTCGACAAAGCGAAAAAAGTTGCACAAGTCGTCGGTTCCCAATCTCAGAAGCTGCACAGGTCGTCAATGCATGGTCAACAAAGTTGCGCTAGTTGGAAATTTGAGCCCAGCCCGGCAAAACGAAAAAGAGTGCGCGACACGGTTCCACACCATCAAAGCTGCACAAGTCGTCAATTCTCTGTCAAAAATGCTGCGCAAGTTCGAAAATCGAACCCGGTCCGACAAAACGAAAAAGGTTGCGCAACCCGTCGGTTCCGAATCAAAAAAGCAGCACAAGTCGTCAGTTCTCTAAACTGCACAACTTCGAAATCCGAGCCCGGCCCGACAAAACGAAAAAGGTTGCACAGACCGTCGGTGCCCAATCAAGAAGCTGCACAAGTTGTCATTTCTCTTTCAGAAAAGCTGCGCAAGTTCGAAAACCGATCCTGGCCCGACAAAACGGAGAAATGTTACACATCTCTTCGATTCTTCATCCAAAAAATTACACAAGTCGCCAATTCGTTTCCAGAAAGGCTGCGCAAGTTCGAAAACCGATCTTGGCCCAACAAAGCGGAAAAGGTTGCGCAAGTCGTCGAGTTTTCACCAACAAAGTTGCACAAGTTGTCAGATCTCTGTTTAAAAAGCTGTGCAACTTCGAAAACCGCGCCCGGCCCGACAAAACGAAAAAAGTTGCACAATTCGTCGGTTCCCAATTTCAGAAGCTGCACAAGTTTTCAAGTCTCTGTCAAAAAAGCTGCACAAGTTCGAAAACCGAGGCCGGCCCGACAAAACGAAAAAGGTTGCGCGACCCGTCGGTGCCCAGACAAAAAGCAGCACAAGTCGTTAACTCTCTCTCAGGAAAGCTGCGCAAGTTCGAAAACCGATCCTGGCCCGACAAAGCGGAAAAGGTTGCACCAGTCGTCGATTCCTTATCTAAAAATTGCATAAGCCGACAATTCTTTTTCAGAAAAGCTGCGCAAGTTCGAAATCCGATCCTGGCCCAACAAAGCGGAAAAGGTTGCGCAAGTCGTCGATTCTTCACCAACAAAATTGCACAAGTCGTCAATTCTCTGTTTAGAAAGCTTCGCAACTTCGAAAACCGTGCCCGGCCCGACAAAACGAAAAAGTTGCACAATTCGTCGGTTCCCAATTTTTAGAAGCTGCACAGGTCGTCAATTCTTGGTCAACAAAGTTGCACAGGTTGGAAAACCGTGCCTGGCCCGACAAAACGAAAAAGAGTGCGCGACCCGACGGTTCCACGCCATCCATGCTGCACAAGTCGTCAATTCTTGCCAAAAAAGCCGCGCAAGTTCAAGAATCAGACGCCCGGTCGCGCGCGGCCGCGAAGTTGCAGAAAAAATATAAAAACGAACTTGAACTTAAGTCGAGGGGGGCGTTGACGCCCCAGTTAATTCCAATGGCAGATTGAGACCCGAACAGCGGGCGAGAACAGCAGAGGCAGACAAGCTGTTTGAGGCGAAGCAAGCCCCGATACATAGCCCGATGGTTTTTCAGCAACAACTCCATGAATTTCCCGCTACTACTACTACTACTACTACTGCTACTACTAATAGTACTAGTAGTACTACTATTATTACTATATTACTACTACTACTACTACTATTACTACTACTACTACTACTACTACTACTACTACTACTACTACTACTACTACTACTATACTACTACTACTACTACTTCTTCCACTACTACTACTACTGCTACTACCCCTACTACGACTACCTACTACTACCTACTACTACCCTTTACTACCTACTACTACCTATTACTACCTACAACTACCTACGACTACTACTATTACTACTATTACTAATACTACTACTACTGCTACTACTACTACTATTACTACTACTACTACTATTACTACTACTACTATTACTACTACTACTACTACTACTACTACTACTACTACTACTACTACTACTACTACTACTACTACTACTCGGACACGTGCACCACATCACCACGGCTCAACCGCCTTGGGATGAGCGTCCTTGTGGCTGCCTCATTTCCAGTATCCAGCGAGCACCTCTTCTGGGTGAAATGGCGGGTCTGACGTGCATGCAGCGGCGGGCGCTCGTCCGAGGGCATCTGGTCCCTACGGCCCAGAGTAAAGCGACAGCGGCGGCGCAGCAGCACACGGGGCGACCCCAGTGCCGCCATCGGGGCCAACGCGCGCAGGCAGGCGCAAGAAGGGGCCAGGATGGCAAGCCAAAATGGCCAGGCGCACAGTTGACCGTGCGAAGAACGAAGAACTAAGCAACAGGGCCCGCGGCGCGAGGGGGGGCACCACTGTGGGCGCACCCGCGCAAGCTGGCACGGCGGCGTCGCTAAAGCTGGAGCGTAAGCGAGAACGCAGGCGCAGCGTCATAGGGGGTGGCAGGCTCGGAATCTTAACCCAGGAGCTCACGTGGCCCCCCATCGGGGGCTCAGAAGTAAACGATGCTGGGGGCCTGCAGAGTCTCAGCGCTCAGGCGGACTGGCCTGTCCCCTGCGCAATGGCTGCGAAGACCTGCGACGGCGGCGCCTGCGCCTCTCCCCCGAGATCACCGCTGCCGCCAGCCTGCCCTGGGGGCCCAAAGATCTGGCGCTCGAGCTCCTCACCGAGGGCCACGTTCAGGACGGCGGCATTGGGGATCTGCTGCGGGGGCGGGCCAGCCGGAAGCGGCGGCGCCGCAGGGGGCGCCGTCAGCGGCGGCGGCGGCGGGGCCGTGATGGCCGCCTGCGGGGCTCCAGCAGGCGGCGGTGGCGGGACCTGGCTGCCGCGGGCTGAGCCAGCGGGGGGGGCACTGGCGGCGCGGACGGGAGTGGCGCGCGGGGCGACCCCGGTACCGCCCCCGCCGCCCGTGAGGCTGCCCTCCCGGAGGTTGTGGCGGCGCTCATAGGCCTCCAGTTCCGCGTGCGCGGCCGCCAGTCGCTCCTTCTTGGCCTTCTTCCGCTGGTTCTTGCTGTAGCCCGCTCAGGCTGGATCGTTCAGCCCCCAGCAACCTGCGAGTACATGTCGGACCACTCGAACTCAGGCAGGTCGTCCCAGGAGAGCCCGTCCATTAGCACGTAGTGGCCCTCCCACTGCGGCTGCAGCGGAGCGTAGCGCTTAAAGACGGTGCCCACCGCCAGCGGCTCGACCTTGGGCAGGTGCTTCAGGAGGTCCACAGCGCTGAGCACCGCTACCCCCTCCCTCTTGAGCTTGTCGTAACGCAGCAGGGCCTTCAAGTCGCGGATGTCCTCCTGAGGGAAGTCCGCGTGCATGTAGTACGCGCGGGGCGGGCTCAGCTCTTCTTCTATCATCTCGATGCAGACGACGTAGGAGGTCGCGTAGCGTGCGCCACAATGGCAGTACCAGCGCTGGCCGGACTCCCCCGCCGCCTCCTGCGCGCAGGTGAGCAGTTGCGTCCAGCTATCCGAACGGATCACCGAGCAGCATCCCTTGGGATTGTCCCAGGTCTTGTTAGCCGAGCACTACTACTACTACTACTACTACTACTACTACTACTACTACTACTACTACTACTACTACTACTACTATTACTACTACTACTACTACTACTACTACTACTACTACTACTACTGTGCTGCTGATTGTGCCAGTGCTGCGCCATGCAATAGATCCGATCACTACTCATCATCTCCTGATACTGAGGAGACCCAGGAACAATACGACGAGAGACCAGAAAATCAGTGACAAGGTGGAACTTAGAAAGACGAGGGACGGAGCCTGATCGCACGTTATCACCTGGCTGGCGCAGCGGCTGGACGTGTTCTGAACACTGCCCTGCCAGCACCAGCTTCAAGCAATGGCAGTCCAGGAGTGTGACCCGTATCTCGTGGCTGGTCATATTGATAGTGATCAGGTATAGAGATTCCAACAATATCACGTGGCTGATCGGATGGAAGTCCACCGTGACGCCTAGCAAGCTGAAGCGTTCGTGGATCCACTGCCTCTTCCCGTTCACCGCTCAAGCTTCCATCTGCTCGAGCATCTGCTGGATCTCGCGCTCCATGAACGTGGCGGGAGCACGACCTTGCTTGAGCTGCCAGCCCTTGATCCCCGCAAAGGCCTGCAGCATCATCTGGCGGAAGCCCGGATCCCTGAACGCGAACGTAATTTTCTTCATGCCCCGCTGTAATACCTTCTCCACCTTGCAGCGCAGCACCCGGTCGCACCTGTTCTGAAGATTCCACTATCCGTCCTCCTCGTAGAGGAGGAGGAGGAGGAGGAGGAGGAGGAGGAGGAAGAGGAGGAGGAGGAGGAGGAGGAGGAGGAGGTTGAGCTTCTCGTGAAGCTCCTTGGTCGTCGTGACCCCTGTCGCGGGGGCTTTTGGGGTCTGCTCCTCAGCTACTTCGGCGCGCCGCCGAAAGACCGCATCAGAGGATGGCCGTTCTCATGGTCCTTCTTGCGCTTCACCACCTACCAAACCACCCCAACCCAACCCGAAGGCTCAAATTTGCCCTCGATTTCCAGTAGGGGGGGTCGGGGAACATCGAAAAAACACGTGCAACCCGTATCCCCCCCCAACCCGAAATTCGGGTCAAATTCGGGTCTTCGGGTTGGGTTGGGGTGGTTTGGTAGGTAGTCATTCACCGGCTCGCTGTACATTGAAATCTGCTCCTGCATCGCCAGGAGGGGCGGAGAGTCGTCGGGGTGGGGCATACGTCGAAGAGCGCCGCCATCACCTCGCGCATGTGCCGGGAGTTGCGGAGGGTTTGGCGCATCATCATCCCGAAGAGTTGCCTCTGGCCCGTCTGCCAATGCTCGACCTTCTTCAGCGCATCGGCACGCTTGTCGTCCTCGGCCTGGCGCGGGCGCACCTGGCGGACGCGGGTGGGCTGGGCTGCTCCTGCCCCGCTGGGCGGCAGCACTGCCGGCATGTGCTGCCCGCCGAGGGTGAGCGGGCTGAGGCAACGCAAGTCGCGGGAGCGGTTGAGGAAGGTGTTCATGGCGCAAGTGTGCGTGTAATTCGTTCACTGGGCCAAAAGCCGCTACATCACATATTCTGCACTGCAGGACATCGGGCACCTGGAGCTCCCAAGACATGTGAGCCCTGCCGAGTTGGCATCGTCCATTAGCATAGGCCCGTTTACAATGATGCTGGGTAGGCTGGATGTCCCGAAAGACCGAACAACAATTAGGACATTGATTCAGAGTCACTCCCGAGTTTAGAATTGAACGAACACCATGGTGATAAGTCCGATGTGCCAG